TCGTCGATTCGTTGGTGACGTCATCACGTGTGTTTTACGCGCCGTTAAGCTCCAACGTTATTGGTCTTTTTATATCGGTACTGGAGACATTTAAAAAATATATGTCATGTATTATTGCTACAAAAACATTATATCGCAGTCTTACCCCCTAATCGCACCAGGAGCGTCTGCGCCGCGCTGCGACCTCCTCCTGCGTCCTAACCCACCAGGCGCGTTTCAAAACGTTGCGGAAGCGGAGCGTTGTGTGTGCAGCCTCGCAGTTGTTGGATGAACATTCCACTTCCTGCCTGCGCCGCGCTGCGTCAAAAATAGGATTCATCCTATATTTTAGAAATTCCTTGCGGCGAGGAGCTTCTGGGACGTTTCGAGCCGCGGCGCAGCATGTCTGGTGGAATAGCACCCATTGACTAGAGTGGCCGCGATCGCTAAAAACGCTGCAGCGCAACGCAGCGCAGACGCTCCTGGTGGGATTAGGGGGTTAGTGTCGCCAACTCGTTTCTAATATGCAAAAAGACAAACAAATGCGTCTATGATGTATTTTCGATCAGACGACATTTCTCTCCCCATCTGTGTGCGAGGGGGCGGGGCAGTTTACACACACGCAGCTGCTACATGCAGCAACACACTGCGGAGATGGCGGAGAGAACGCGCTCCGAGGTGTGGTTAAACTTTACCTGTCTCGATGCTCGTTGCCAAAAGTGCAATAAGAGTTTAGCATGTAAGGGCGGTAACACGAGCAATTTGTCTAAACATTTAGCAAAAGTGCTCCACATTCAGACGGAGGAATGCACCGGGTTCCACTGTCTTTCTAGTAGCTCTGTAGCCCCATCCACGAGTAACTTTCCACGTCAGGTGTTATGTGCTAGCAGCAACACACGGAGTTAACTACATGATACAAACATGGGTTAATGATTAGAGGAAACTGAGTTATTTATTTTGTTAAAGTTTCAGCTATTCTGTTTACAGTTCTGTCATCACATTATTTAATACGATTTGTTAAAACATTGTTGTTTCTTTTTGATGTGAAATATTATTTATTTTATTTAAATAAAAAGCAATGTTAATTTTGTTCAAAATGTGTTTAGTTAATTTAATAATATATGTATTTTTGAATCAAGTATTCATCTTTATTGTCTTCATTGTTAGTTTCCACATGCCTAAAACAACCTCAAGCTAAATCTAAAAGTTGATGGCTAAATAAGAGCGTTTGAGAAATTGTGCAAGGCATACAGTAATAGTCCGAATAGTCGATTAATCGTTTCATTAATCGATAGATTAATCGATTATCAAATTAGTCGTTTGTTGCAGCCCTACTGGACTCGGGAGCAATTTGAACCACAGCAATGTTTAAAGCTTCAAACGATTTGAGTCAGCCGAAGCTGATCTTACTAAACAAATTAGCAAAGGCCCTGCCTTTTCAGCAGAAACTGTTAAATGAAATGCCATATTACCAACAGTTTTCAAAACCCTTAGTATGCGACAGTTCTCCAGCTCAACCTTCCTCTCCCTCCACTCCATCTGCCCTTCTCTCCCTGTGCACCTCCTCCTCCCTCCCTGCCCCTCGCTGGCAATTCAGCAAGATATTTTCTGCGCATTGAGTCCCTATCAGCACTTTGGGAAAGTAAACACTTTCTCCAGTTGCCAAAGCTTGCCAAGACACCTGTCAAACAAGCCATATGCTCTCCTCCTGGCACAGAGGAGGGAAAGATGTAGCAAAACGGAGAGAATCGTAAGAAGGTGTAATGTATATTATTTCCACTCCCCCATTACCAGCCTTCAAATTCAGCATGTTGTTCATACAGTTAAACATACCAGCAATGTCTGCCAAAAGCTTGCTACTCTACTGAATGGAGCCAAGTTGAAGGGCAGCCAAAGAATGTATGCTCAGTAGTTGAGATGCACATGCTTGGCTCACGTGGGAAAAACTGAAAATGTTTTAACTCAGCTAAAAAATTCCTTATGTGGCTCAAGTTGCCTTTAGGGTAATAAACATTTATGACACAGCTGCTTTATGTAGGTAGGTTTAAAGGATGCCGAGTACAATGTGATAGTTTGGATGACCATGAGGTCAGCATAACTCATCTCCTAAAAACGTGTAACTTAGCCACGTCACTCAAATAAGGAGGGAAAAGAAGAAAAAACATTAGAAGAAAAATCTAAGTCAGCATGCATTGTTTGCTTTCTTCAACACCAGCAGCATTTCACCTACTTAGAAAAACAGCTTGTGGGGCAGAGCAGACCCACAACAGAATTGCTTAACAAGCAAAGGTTGGCAGAGCAATTTCAAACAGATAGTAAAAACCAAGATATAAATAGACTAGATTCTCATACACTCATGTTATGATGTGAAAAACATGCAGTGCAGATATTATAAAGGAATAGGAGGAGCTCAGTATGCAGAGCTACATATTGTATGCTTAGCCTTAAGGTGTGCTCTCTGATTTGTAAGGAATAACAAATAACTTTCATTTCAGCCTATTCACAAGTAGATCAATTAAAAAGTTACTTGAGTCCTTCCTCATTATATGTATACTTTCCAAACAACATATACATTATCAAACACTGATTTTTTTTTTAAATATACTGACAAAAAGCATGACGCATTACTAGAGCTGATTTCCCAACTCGATTAAAACATTTTTTTTTTTTTTAAACATGCATTGGTTCAAATATTGTTGTTGATGTCATGTACAACAATGATTAATCGAGGCAGCCATAACTGCATTAAGCTTTTAACTAGTAAGAATATGAAGAAAATCATAAGTATGAAAAGTATAGTGCGTATTTGCCGCACAGCCATAGTCTTTCGGCAATATGGAGGTGAGGAGAATGAGATGCTGTTGATTTCAAAAAGTACACTTTATTGCTGTAAAAGAAAATATGTTGAGCATTTGGTGTACCATCAACCTTGACAAATGTACATCTTGATTGCAGCGAGAACAGTGCTTTTAATGACCTGCAGTAATTAGCTAGGATATCATCCTGCCACATTGTCTTTTCACCTAGAGCCACCCTGCAGTGATTCCGCTGTTGCAATTACAGATGGCAATAATACATTTGAAGCAATGCCCTTAAAACTTGTTTTATTACTGCCAAATGGTAGAAAATACTTTAACCAAGTCAGCCATCGTTTGCTGCGGCAAAACCCTGCAAATGTCTGCGTCAGTTTTACTCCCATCTTTAGGTAAGTGTCCTACTTTAAAAAATATATAAATAATATTAAAATAATAATGGATACCACACTGCTAAATACTTGAGAATATTTAGACTTACTAAATACTACCTGTTGGGTTTGAAAACTGTCAATAATGTGAGGTCTATATCTATAAATATTAAAAAAATAATACCATATAATGGGCCATGAACAACATTTTTAAAAAGGTTAAAATATCATGGAAAATTATGCAATAGGTGAAAAAAAAGCCACCTGACAATGCCGCAGCAATTTCTGAATTCCCAGACTAGCAGGATCTACCACAGAGTCCAGTTTTCACCAGACATTACTGCACAATACTTATTTCAGTTGGTGGTTCAAACCAATACAGTTTTACTGCTTATGCCGAACAGAAGGGTTCAATGGGTGCAGAGCCATAATGGTTGCTTATGCATACGTCGTAATTGGTATGGCTCCACTGTGTTCTGACATGCCTTATAGTTCAAATATGTAGTTATCCTGGAATAAAGCATGCTGTTGTTTCCAAATGGTGCTTTTAACGCAACAGATAAGGGCCTTTCGAAACAAAATGAATGTCACAGAAATGGTAATATTCCTTGATGAGCAAGGTGATCCAAGGTATACAGAATAACCTGCCATGTCCCTGGACATTGTACTCTGCTGCCATAACATTGCTAACTATTACCAGTACATTTAATGTGACTAAAACTAGTACTTCTACCTTTAGTATTGTAGCTTGACAGATATTCTGCAAAAAACACGGTAGGTAATGTTAGTGCAATCTGTTTATGACACAACACAGTGAGTTTACATATTATTTAAGGTACATTCATTAAGTATCTCATTACCAAGTTGGAGTGGACACTGAGGTACACTAGCATGTACTGTTCCTGCCACTTGCTCTCTGCGGCACTTTCTCAATGCTCTATGATGCATATTAAACTAATCACCTGATTTTGTGTTATGTTATGTCTTGTATTGGTAACTGTATTGTGATATCGATTTCCCGTGACTATTTGATCAGATGTCAATTCTCTACTGTGAAGCATTTTTGACTGCAATTCTTGTAGGGAAGGTACTATACAAATAAAGCTTATTATTATTGTGCATACATTCAGTACTGATACATTGCAAATGTGGGGTGTCTCAAACTTTACTACAAACCATTATGTTAGTAGTTAGTTAGCTATTGATGGGGGGTCTATACTAAGTCACCTAGCGAAGCAGCTAACAATAGCATTAGCTTGGCATCCACCTACTTTTTGTCGTTGTCTCTATCATTTTACATATCGACGCCAACTTGCATTAACATTTGTTTAAAAGAGGTTTTGCATTGGCTCAAAAGGGCCGAACCACCCAAACTATCAAGCAGCACAAGCTAACTACCACAGCGTTAGCTACATTAGCTAGAGTCGAATCGAACAATTATCTCAGAAAACAGCCCAACTTTCCCACAAACTTCATACTTTGACTCGTGTCGGGTTGTCTTACTGCTTGGACACGCTTTCTCCGATTATGAAAACGCTTGACAACATTTCATATGTTAGTAGCTTAAGTTACAACGTCGACCGCGGGTGCAAACTATGTCGGCTGTCATGCTACTGTGCTAGCTTGCTTATGCTACCAGTTAGCACTAGTTTAGCTAGCAACCATCCTATGTCAGCCACTGCTAAGTAGAGGCTAACGCTAGCTAGCATCTAGTTCGTACCGCACGGTCGGAGGCAATTATTACTAATTACTTTACGTGTCATATCAAGAACGCACCGACATTGCCAGCGCCCTATTGTCACCAGTTCAATTCAACATGCAAGTCCATTTTACTCACCGTTTTGCAGATGAGCATTAAACGTTGTCCATTCCCCTCGGTAGTTCGCTAACAGCCAGGCCTCCCCCCCTCTCCAGTCCAGATGTGTCAGACAGTTGCTGCTGCAATTTTTGCATCAACAGGAAGTGTTCTTTTGGCTCTTTGCATTCATTCTATCAGTGTGTGTTTTGCAGCAGCCCCTCCCTTGCTTATGTCAGTCAGCCTATGTATTGAGACATCATGTCCAGAATACACGACGTGAAGGATAATAATATATATAAGCAACAAAAAAGTAAAGTAGCCTTTAGCCGGTGTCCAACTAGTTTTCAACAGATAACGTGGCTACCGCCATACTTTATATACTGACTACCCCATTGCTTGTGGTAGATATTGTAACACTTTCAGTTAAAGTGAACACTAAATGTATCTGTTTTTAGTGCATCTGCCGGTCTTGTAAACATTGTACTAATTTGATCATTTAAGTGTCTCATTGCAAATCCAAGATGACATAAATCTAGGTTATACCTTTCTAGAACAAAACATTATCTACATGATGGTAACTGTTCTTTTAAAGGGTTTTTTCAGTTATTTGACTTAATTTTGTGAATTTGTCTTTAACAACTTCAACTCTACACTTATTTTCAGCTTTGCAAGTCACATTTCTAGTTCATTTGGTCAACCATTTGCTGTGTTATTTCAAAGCATTTTCGAATGAGTTGCATAATCCGATTTTATAAACTGAAAATGAATTTATTAAATTCTGCATAGACACCACAAAGGGGCGCCAGAGACTCAATTGATGAGCCTTGCATCCGACTTGCATTCCTCAACTCTCCGAAAAGTTGAGGCGGGTGGGTCAGCATTACAAGGAACATATTCAACCAATTAGATGGCATGATACAATACAATCATTATTAAATGTTGTATTATAAATACATTGACAACATTTGTAAATAAGGAAATGTTGGATACAGCAGAATGTTACAGAATGAGACATTTTATGGAAAAATAGGTATTTTTTATATTAATACTTTTTAAGAAACATGAACATCAAAAAACGAAATAGCACAATGAAAATTACTCTAAGTAACCTTCAAACTGAATTATAATAACACATAACTTACATGTAGCTTTATGAGGATGACAAATGCAATGAGATGTGAGCACTCAATCCCTTTTAAGTGTACGGTAGAACATTAATATAATAATCAAAAATAGTAAGTACAATTATTTATAACAATCAGCTTCCACTCAGAAGTGGTGTTCATGTATATGACCTCATCTTCAAAAACATTTTCAATCAACTTTTATGAATGTAATTTCCAGATTTAAATGTGTTGTGACTCAAATCAGCAGTTGATGGCTATATTTCACTTAATTTTAATATAACATTCTTCTTGCAAACAATGTGTATATGTTGTATGTTTTCTCTTTGTAAAAGAGACAGGAAAAGTATTGTGTGTTATAAGCACTAACATGAAATGAATGTGTTCTGTGTGTGTTTCTTTTTTTATTGAGTGTGAGTGACAGGTTGGCAGCTCAGGTGAATATCTGACCTAATCTGTGTGCAGGTGGGTGATCAACGTAGAGAAAGGAATCGCTTTGTCATTGCACGTGCTTCTTGTTAAACAAGTCTCTCCTCTATTCTCGACCGTAATTTGCTTCTTTTTTTTCTTTTTCTGGAGATTGATGCACAACCCAAAGTGCAGCCAAGGCATGGTGATTAGAGATGGTTTTGTTGATCCGCAGGAATGATCATGGTATTGATAACATTTCAAACAAACTCATAATCAAAGGGTTTCCTGTTGAAGTTGTAATCTTTTCTGAAATGGGGCTTTGTTAGCTCAGTGTCATTTGGTTGACCAGGAATTATTCGACGGTAAGCTAATGGGGCTGGTTCTGAGTGGTGCAGCGCCAGGGATCGTATAGGGGCTCCAGGTGGTGTGGCCTCGGGCTCTGATGTGCTGCTCCTTTTTAATCCCAGATGACATTGCAAAATCCCCAAACCCCCTGCCCCTGTATAAGACTGTATAGGAGCAGAGACCAGATGATTTGTTTAAAGAGCGCATATCATGTATCAAGCTGAGGGAATAAGGAGCTCCACTGTTGTATGTTAAGCCTCAGAGTCTCAGACCATAGGTTATGCTTAATATGGAAGATAGGTTTTTATTCTTTGTCTGAAAAGAACATGTGTAGCATTTGTTTAATAAACTCTAGCACGTTTTACAATACTGATTTGATTTTTGAATGTCTCGAGATTTTGTTGCATTACATCCAAAAAAATTATATTTGTGGGTCCTGCACAGTTTCTTGCAACAGTAAAAGCCTTCAAACAATTCTGCTGCAGTCAACAAATACCACTCAAACCCGAGTTTGTTTGGTAATGTTGAATAAGTAGCCCAATTTTTAAGTTTAACATGAATAACACACTGTTTTCTATGTGTGCCAAGAGTCCAAGAATACCTTGGCTGTCAGTGCCGGGGAGAACAATGGTCTTCCAGTGCTCCTGTCCAGAAATAGTCTATAGCTCACTGATGGAGAACATATTTCCCAATAGCAGGTGTCTGAGTCAGTCAGTGCCTGATCCTCACCATGACTGTAAATGAAAGGGCCAGCTCGTCCAGGTGCGGGAGCACCTCTTTGGCCCTCTCAGGTTTCTCCTTGATGGAGGAGCTTTTCGTGGAAGAATGAACAAGAGAAATATTGAAATTAAACTATGTATATGTTAGTATGCATCACTATTAAAAGCATACATCATTCCCTTAGCATATGTAATATTATGCAATTCGCTTTTTGAGAACAACAGTTCGTTATCTACTTTGTATAGATTATTGATTTTTATTAATATTGTTCTTGTTCTCAAAATGTTTATAACGGTTTAAGTCGATGCTTTGTATTAGACAAACAGTAGAAACAACATGCCTAAAATCTTTTTGTGATTCTGGAATCATAGCAAAAGCAGCAAAAGCTTATAAAATATGTAAGTATACGTATGCCACAATGATAGTCGGTTTGACTTATCATCCTTTAATTTTAAGAATCAGTTGGACTCCAACCAAAGCCATTTAAGACCGAACCTACAAAGCTAAGATAGTTTTACCAGTAAGTAGAATAATCAGTGCAGTGCAAGGGTAATGAGCTCTCAGATGTGTCATATATATTTGCCTGAGAAATTAAGGCAATTTCTGGAAATGGTGGCCTGGGGTTGAGGGGAATACAGAGTGGCTTGTAAAGATGAGTGATATCTGGCACAGCATGAAGAGAATGAGAGGTGTGCTGCCCGGTGCTTAGCTCAAATGAAAGCTCTGATTAGTGGAGCAAAGATCAAAATGACAGAGCGGTGCAGGCTTCAGCTGGGCCTTTGTTATTGATAAGTCTGTCATCTCTGCTGATATTGGAGCAGTAATGGCAGCTGATGATTAGGCCACTCCTGAGCTATTAACTACATTTCTTATCCTTTTACTGGGGCCCAGGAGAGCCTGTTTGGGAGACAAAGGCGTCCTTTATGAAGCTGGCTCCTTAAACGGCATCCACCTGACCTAAAAGGCACAACTGTTACTGTCTTTCTGCCAGGCCAAAGGAGTCAGAGACGAGATACATGTCAGAGGTCGCAGTGAGCTGCTGTTTGAAATGAAGGGGTTCTGAGTGAGTAAGCTGCTGAAAGACGGCTGCGGCAAAATTACAGAAAATTGCCTGTTTTGTCAACATTTCATCAGAAGATTTACAGAAAGCTGACCCCGACCCTTTCTCTCCCCCTCTTTCACAAGAAGATTGAGTGGGTTGGAATTGACTGACAAACAAATCTCTTCTTTATTTCTTTCTCACTTTCTCTTTCCCTCTCTAGAAATGTTATTCAATATGATCTCTTTTTAATGATCCTAAGTGGCTGAAATTACATCTCCTCAACACATATTGTTGAGGTTATTTAAGTCTTATTTCTAGCCCTCACAAAGGACATAAAAGCTAAAATGTTCAAATTCTCCAATGAACATAATAATATGGCTATCATTTTGTATTATGATACCATGGTGGACTAATCCAGTACATTTATTTTAATATCTAGCTGTTAATGTAAATGTATATGAATGCAATGGACAGTTACCGTGTGTGACATGGGAAAGATAAGAAGGGTAATAATCTTAAAACGGCTTACTACTGAGCACTAAAGCCTGTTAAACCCCGAGCCTGTTTTTCAGGTCTCAGGCTCAAAAATGACATTCCCAGAACAAATGACCATATCTTCCCTTCTAAAAGGGTTAAATTAATAATATTTTTTCTCAAAGCAAGGTTACACCTGTGAGTTGGATGTAGAAGTGTCAGAATCAATATAGATGTTTTAAAGTAAATTCAGATTGAACACAGTAAAAACATTTAAATTATTGTGTTCGTCCAACAAAAACAAAATTACTTATACTTATGTAGACTAAAATCTATAGCAATCCAAACTACAACATATAATAAGAACCCTGTATCAAGATTGATGCAAAACAAGTTAAATTTGACCTTTTTAGAGAGATTTAGCAGAAAAAACCCACTTCTGGGGTCATTTGGGTGGATTTGACCTATCTCTGGCCCCCCTTGTTCGATTTTGCTGATTGACATCTCTTTCTAACCGTCAGAGCCAATGGAATCGAGGGGAACTCCCACATACTCCTTATTTAGTAATGTGTGTGTGTGAGACTGCCGCATAGCCAAGACCGGAAGCTGCGATAACTCTGGTGGCTACCATTAGCAGCTAACTTTTACTCTCCGATCTTTACATAAAAATGGAATTATGGATTATAAATAAAAATAATTATCACCCAGAAACATTATCAACCTATGAATTAACCGATTCAGCCGCGTTTTCTCTCGTTTTAATGCCATTGAACAAGTCTTTTGATCAGATTGACAGCTACGGTGAGAGGATCTCCCGTAAAAGCTACGTAAAGGTACGTGTTGTGATGCCTGAGTTTGCTTCCCCTGTCGCGAGTTCGGATCACTTAGTGATGATATATATATACCTAAATAATCTGTGGAACCTCAGCTTTAATCGGATATATTGTATGTGCAGCTACGATAAGTAATAATGGTATCTTTTATCTTGAGTTCTGTGCCAAAGTGCGTTAGCATTTTTCGCTCAGGGGTCATTTAGATGCTTCTTATGAGACTT